GGTTTCCCAGGCCACAGACTTTAGGGAGAACGATGGCGAGGACAGACGGTGGGGGCCTCCTGTGGTGCATAAGGTCACTCAGGGTGGAAACCAACTAGACAGCACCTCACAACGCACTGCGGAAGCCGAGGGTCACATCTTCCTCCCAGACTGGCTCGTGGGCCCAAATGTCAGTTTTTCACCTAGCTGACAAGCACTAACCACTGCGCCAACAAGGCTCCTAGGCTCTGACTTGCAGCACTGCCCACCCTCTCCCCAAGCCCCCAGGTTGTTCTCTGAGACTAACTCTTTACAGGAGCAGAGAGCTTCATCTCTGATGGGTCTGAAGCACCGACCGTGTGGTTAGCCGGACAGCGCTTACCCTGCAGCGCCACCAGGGCAGGCGAGGATGCATCCCCGCATGGCCTCTTACCTGATCCCTGAGGCGCCAGGTTCCCTTTGCCATCCAGATAGGAGACGTGAACTGACGAGAGCACAGAAGAGGGGTCGGCCTGGGGTCCTGTCCCCTGGAGCACTGCCCACCCCTCCAAGTCTAGTCCCAGGAGGTCCTGCCCCACCGCCCGCCAGCCCATGGCCACCAGCTCTGTGGCCTGGCAGCTACCTCTCACAGCTGTCTCCGCACAGCCTGTAGGGACGCTGGGGGCCAGGGCCAGCTCCACCAGGTTCACCTCTCGGTCTTCAGGGAAGGAGAGCTCACCCTCCCTGGCTGAGCGCAGGGGCAGGGCCTCCTGGGACCCATAGCCACAAACAGCCTGAGGAGAGAGGAGGAGGAGGGCAGCCTGAAGTCCAGGAACCCACAGGCTGGGGGGCTGTGTTTGAGAAGCTTCTGGAGGTCCTGGGGAAGGGGGTCAGGGTTACTGCTGGGAATGTGGCTGGTGCAGCCAGGTCTGGGAGCAAAAGGGTCCCTCCTGACACCACAGTAGGGCTTCTGTCCTATCCCACTAGGCTGCCGGCCTGTCTCCCTCCCCTTCCCCAGAACAGCTTTGGCCTCCCTGAGAAAGGCCCCTCTTCAGGAAGCCGTCCCTAACCTCCTAACCCTGGTGTCCTCCTTGTCCTTTCTCAGCTACCAGCCCTCTGAGAAGGCCGAGTGCCTGCCCCACCCTGCCGCCCCTGGGAAGTCCTGTGCCAGCCCCACTCACCTCCACGCTGCTCCACCTCAGGGCCCTGTTGAAGTCCTCGACTGTCAGCCTCCGCCGCCGGGTGTGCTTCATGAACTGGGAGCTGTTCTGAGAGGGGAGGAGAGACCAGAGAAGACCAAGAGCGTCCTTGGGCAGGGAGCAAGCCAGGTGCAGGCTGCCACTATCCCAGCACCAACAGCCTCTGCTTCTCGTCAGCAGACAGGAGTGTGCACCTGCCTGGCCTGTCCAGGGGCTGCTGGGAGGGGCCCATGAGAACAGAGGCAGCAGCACTTGTTCCCAGAGGCCCGTGGGGCAGCAGAGGAGCTGGTGGGGGCAGGCATGCAGGAACAGCCTCTGCCTCATGCTTGTTTCCGGTGGGCTCCCTCAAAGACAGAGGCCCCACCCCATAAACCGCTGAGTGAACCAGGGTGGGAGGTGATTGGCACAAAGACCAATCTTGGTGCCAGGGTTCCCCGGGGCTGGCGGAGCTGTACCTGCGTGGCCTCTCGGAGGCGGTAGCACACGTCCTCCGCCAGCAGAGCAGCCACCTCATCACTCAGCTCCAGGCCCGTGCTCTCTGCCATGAGCCGGATGGACTCCCGGGGAATCTCCACAAACCGCCGCTCCTCCCGCTCCGACATGGCCCCTACGGTGCTGGGAGGGAGAGGGAAGGCTTGACTAGCCCAGAAGACTCGACCCCCCTGGAGCAGAGGGCACGGGGCCCAGAGCTGAAAGCCAACTGGCCAGCCACCTTGTGAAGCTGCCCTATGTCCTCCTCCATCAGGGGGAGCCCCAGCGTCCTAAGTCTGGGCCAAGGCTTCCATCCCACCCCCCACCCCCCACCTCAGGGCTGCTCTAGACACAGGGAGATGATGTAGGAGAACTTCAGGGACTAGAACACACACACACACACACACACACACACAATCCACCCACACCGAGATGGAGACAGCAGCATCTTCAGCACCACCACAATCCCTCCTCCCTGCTCCAGCCAGAATCAGCCAGGCTGCCCTGGAAACACTTTGATCCTGAGGACAGCCTCTCACTCCAAAGCCTTCAGTCCTTTCCAAACCAGCAAACCGGCTGCCACCAGGTCCAAGCCGACCCCTAGTGACCCTGGAGAACGGGGTAGACCTGCTCCGGTGGGTTTCGAGACTGTAACTCCTATGTCTTTCTCCCTCACCCCTTCCCCACTGCTGGAGAACTTCCTGGCCCTGCATTCCGCATCTGACCCCAAGTTCCACAGGGCTTCTTCCCTGGAAGACGCCCACCACCCTGCAGGCCCTTGGCTCTGCCGTAGGCCCCTCCATTGTCCTCTGGCCCTGCCTGATACCCCCCAGCCTACTCCAAGTACTCTCTTCTACCAGGACAGCGCCCGCCTCCCTTTTGGGGGTCGCTCTGCCCTCTCTGGCCCCTGGGACTGTTGGGCCTGGGTCTTCTCAGGAGCCTGCTCTTCCCAGCGTGCCTGCAAGACCAGTATCAACTAAGCCACCATGAAAACGCTTTCACAGGTAGCCCCTAGCTCAAAAGCCGGAACTCCAGGCTCTGCATTCTGCACTTGTCCCCAAAGCCCAGAGCTTGGGAGAAAGCCAGAACCCACCCAAACCAGCAGCTGATTTGGTGGTCACCCGCCACCAAGCATGGGAAGCTCGTGAGACAGCTCTGCCCAGGGGCCTCCGCTGGTTACCCAGGCTTCCAAAGCCTCCCTCCACGCCCCGTGCCTTGTGGCTCCAGTTCACAGTACTACCCGCCCTGGGCCACAGGCAAGGCCGCCTGGGGTCACTAATGGCCTCCAGGTGCACAGCAGCCCACCTGGCTTTTCTGCAGCCCCCTTCCCACGGGCCATCACCAGTGGGATAAAGAACACCTGTGAGGGCAGCAGGGCTGTGGGCATTCACATCCATTCGGTTCCCTGCACGCCAAGCCCTTTGTCCAGTGAACTGCCCACCCCAACCCTTCAAGAGCTGTTCAGACACCAGCCGTTTTCTCCGGGAAGGCGTCCCACACCTCTGCTGTCCCTGTCTTTGCCTCCATGGTCATTATCAGAGTCTGCAGGGGCCTCCCTCCCCACTGACTGCAAGCTGCCGCGTGGTCTTCACCTTTGCATCCCTAGCATGCATCCAGGGCCGTGTCAGCACATCGCCCGGCCCGGAAACACAGCCTGCGAGAAGCAAGGAGCAGCAGCTGTGGTTACTGCTGTTTTCCCGCTGGAGCGAGGATGTGGGCAGGCAGCTGAACAGCGCCTCAGTGGGGGGCCACCTCAGCCGACCCCCACCCTGAGGAGGAAGGCATTCTCTAGGTCCATTTCGGAACGAATCCCCGGGGTCCAGTGTTAAGTGCTCAGTGGCTAAGCAACAGCCTCAGCCATTTCTCAGGACACAGAGCTGACTGTCGGCTTCTGAAAAGGCTGGGGGATTCCCAACACAGCGCTACCCAGGCCTGCACCATCCCGCATCCTCACGAGCGCTGCTGTGCTTGGGCCCACTGTGTCGGGCCATCTCGCTGAGGGCCTTTTCCCTGCCCTCCACTGTACCAAGCACGGTGCCATTCTCCTGGGTCCCTCCCAACCACACTTCCAAAGAATGAGCCATGAAGTCTCCCGTCCTTGCTTCTAAGGAGCATGCTGGCTCTATTTCTTCCCAGACAGACTTGTCCGTCCTGCTGATGTGTTCCCTGTTCAACGCCAGACTGCCTTCTGGCCCCCCTCCTTCACTGTCCAGCTTCTGCCTGCCTATGTGGGCACTGAACACGCCATGACTCGGGTCGGGGACACCTCGGCCCTCCAAGTGACATCTTTGTGTGTTTTTTTTAACACTTCGAGAGAGATCTTTTGCAGCAGATTGGCCCAAGGCAATCCGTCATTTGATTCCAGGACTATTTCCACAGGCCCATTAAGATAATGTGGGTGAAGGGAGACAATGGGCAGGGTAAGAAACAAAATAATACAATATATAATCGATGGAGGATACACAAGGGAGGGGGGGGAGCTCATACCAAGGGCTCAAGTAGAAAATGTTTTGGAAATGATGACAACGAATGTACACATATACGTGATACAATTGATGGTGAAATGTAAGAGTTGTATGAGCCCCCAATAAAATGATTTTAAAAAGAAAAGTATAAACAAAATAAAACAGAACTAAAAAGTAAAAGAGAGATCAAAAGATATAAATTTTTTTTAAAAAAAGATAACACCCTGGGAATCTCTGTGGGGCAGTTTTCTCTGTCCGGAGTCAGGATGGGCTCTAGCAACCAACCAGCTCTCAGCGCCTCTCAGAAGCGGCACTTGATTACGGGCTCAGCGGCCAAGCGCGACCCGGTGGGCGGTGTGCGTGCACCCAGAGCTGCCCTGAAAGCAATCCCCATGCCCGGGGAGCCACTTCTGAACAAGAGATCCGGGAAGACCCCCGAGGAGCCACGAGGGCGGCCAGCAGGAGGAATCCAACACCACCCGCATGGTGTCGGCTTTCCGTCCTTTGCAGGCTCATCTAGCGAGCGAGGAAATCAAGGCTCAGGGAGGCCGGAGGGCTCCTTGCAGCTCATCCCGTGAGCAGTGAGTCCGTCCGTGGGGAGCAAGGGCTCTCAGCCTTCCTGCCCCTCCGCACGCTGCTCCCGACGCCGGGCTGCTGCTGCAGGCCTGGCTTAGCGACTCCCCTACTCGAGCCCTCCGACGGATTGGGGTTCAGCGCCGGTTGCCTCCCCTAAAAACAGGGCCATCAAGCCAGTCCTACCCCCCACCCCCCCGGCCAGATCGGACGTTACACGCCCGCATTAAATCCAAAATAAAGCCAAACTCATTGCCACCGCTCGGTTCCAACTCAGGGGGGCCCCACCGAAATGAGAGGTGCCCCACGGGGTCTCCAAGGCGACCGTCTTCACGGAGGGCCACGGGCAGGTCTTGCCCCCGCGGCGCCGCTAGCGGGTTCCAACAGCCAGGCTTGGGGTTTGCAGCCAGCGCTTAACCAGCGCGCCAGCGGGGCTCCCGCGCGCGCACCGCACGCCCACTGAGCGCAGGCCCCGCCGCGCCGCCCGGGACGCGTGGGACCCGGCCCGGCAGAGCCGCGCTCGTCGCCGACCGGGGCGGGCGGTGAGAGGAAGTCACGTGAAGGGGGCGGGCCGCACGCGCGGCGGGCTCAACGGCCAGGAGGGGCGTCCTCGGGCCCGGAGCGGGCCTGCTCACCTGAGGCGACTCCCGACACGCAGGCGGCCACCGCCCGGCAGGTTCGCGGCTCCCGATTCCCTCTCCGCGGCCGGGCCCCGCCCTCCACGAGCACAGCCAATCGGCAGGCGCCGGGAAAAGTTGCCGCCCTGCCGGAGGCTTTTCTCAAACGCGATTGGGCTGTGGGGAGCCCCGCCCCCCGGGCGCCAGGGTCACGTGACGCCGAGCGGGCGCGCTCCTTAAAGCGACAGCTCTTACCAGTTGGTGCCCGTTTGTTTCTTTTTTACCAACAGATAAATCAACTTAAGAAAATAGTTGATTTAAGCTTCTGCGATGGCGACTTCAATCTCTACTCCAGGCTCAGTACTGGCGGCAGTGATCTGCTTCACCATCTCAGAAGGACTGTGCAAATCAGCGAGACGCTTGTGGATTCTCCTCTGGAATCCGTCCCGGGTCTTAGAACCTTCAGCGCAGGGAGTTTTCCTGGTCGTGATTCTCAGTCTTGGGAAGCATCCTAACTGGTCCCTTCACGTTCAGGGTCTTCTCCTTAGCGCCCCTCACCAAGTCAGCACACACTTTCTCCAAGGATTTCACGTTGCGGCTGGTCAGAGTAATCCCAATCCGGTGAACGGCCACCTCTGGTTCCACAGGTGTCTTTCCGGTGTCCTTAAATGCCATGGCGGCGGGGCGCTTCCTGACGGGAAAGCGGTGAGTCAGGAATGGGAGCAGGGGGACAGAGCGCAGTGGGAGACGGCCGCGACTTCCTCAAAGAGCGAGAAGTTCTTCAGTGAGAAGCATTGGGTCCAGTGAGTAAAAGATAGCATTTGAAGCCATCTCTGGGTAAGTTAGCCTATCACATTTTTCCCTGTCCTTGAGATGGGATAAGAATTAACCGAGTGCCTGGGGTGAGGTCCAGGTACTACGCAGGGGCCAGAACCAATCAGGGATCCATATGGCAGCCAACTAAAAAGGAGGGGGAAAGAAAGAAAACAGACATGGCTACCGTGGGGGGTGGGGGTGGGCGGGGGCACTAACCCACCCAAGGGGAAGGTATTGTTTATATCTCCACAGGAGAGGGAGCTAAGACCAGACTTCAACCCAAGACCTGAATGCAGCCTACCAGCATGAAGCAGGGAACCAATGGAGAGGTCTGCAGGGTGATCTCAATCCCAGCTCTGCAGACCCCACCCCCCCTCAAAAGAATGCACTAGAGTTCAGCACACCTCAGGAAGAAGGGCACGTCTGATCAGAGCACACAGGAGCAAACGAAGAGGGAAGGAGAGAGAGTGGAACACATCCTGGCCCAGCAAACCCCAAGGATGATATTCCTGCCAGTGTACAGAGAGGACCAAAGAACCGGCCCCATGAGACATGACATCCATCACTGACTCATAGCACTATGGGGGACAACACTGGAGACACAGTGCGGGAATTGTGCCCAGTCCGACCCCACCACACTGGGGTGAAACACTAAGGGCATGCAACAGAACAGCAAGGGGAGCCAAGCAATGAAGTCCCTAAGAATACCAAAAATAGATTTTGAGGCCAGGGCGTGGAACCCCATCAGACTCCACTGGAAAACACTCATAAAAGTCAACAAACAGACCTGGAACTATTTATAGACTTTTCTTTGTTGTTGTTTCTGTTTTCTTTTGTTGGTTTGTTTTGGTACTTATTGTTGTTTTTGCATGTCTATCTAGATAAGATAGGCAGGATAAACAATCTGGAGGAGAAAACATGGGGACCAACAGTGCCCTGGGGGACACGGGAGAGGGGGAGGTGGGGAAAAGAAGGGAGGTGACAACCCAGGGACAAGGGAACAGCAAGTGATCTAAAATCAGTTTGGAGGGTGTAGGATGACTGGTGGGACTTGATCAAGTGCAATGTAGCCAAGAGGAATTACTGAAACCCAAATGA